CAAAACTTCCGTGCTACCTAGTTTTCTATTCTATTGTTTTGTACTTCACTCAATTTTCTACTCCAAAATGAAATAGAGTTAGGGGTAAAACTCAACTCAAAATGAAAAAAATTGAGTAATGGCCTTACGTCTTGTTTGGTAGATTAGTAACTTTAAGTTTAAAGAACAAACAATTATGAGTCAAGTTTTAGTTTATGAATTTTCCTATTTTCCAAAAGTTGGTATAGCCATAGATAGAGAAAAACGACTATTGTGATTTTTCAAAAATTATTATGGCCCGTTCTGATTTGACTCAGAGAGACTTAATGACCCCCATATAGTAACTTAGTCAAATCTTATGGAAACAAAACTTAGTCAAATCTTCATTCAAATCATATTTTGACACATATCATACGAATTAGAAAAAAGAATTAAATGTTATATTATAGTTTTGTTTGACTATTAAATCTCTGTTATTTTCATTTATTTTTTTACTTAGGAGTAAAAATATATTCCTTTTAGCAAAAAAATGTATTGAAATATAAAAATACATTTAATTTAGAGTTAATACAAAAAGACATTTAATTTGAAACGGAGTAGATTGGACAAAAAATATTGAAACAGTGGGTATTATTTATCAAATTTCGCAAATTTGTAGCAATACAAACTTAGTAAAAAATAAATTTGATTCGATTTACTTTATAAAAGATAGATTCAACTGTTTAGTGTTTACGGTTAAATAAAAAAATGTGAGACTAATTGATTCTATTTCCAAAATAATATTACTGTATTATTTATTTTTGACATACATACATGGAAAAGTACATTATTGGAAAAGATAGAATCATGCCAGATAACTCTCACCCACAATATAGACAAGTTTTTAACTTGAACAAATCTGATTTGACAACTGTCATTGTCTTCTGTTTATAAAATGTTTCTCAATGTAACACACCACTTCCCTTGTATAAATAATACACACATAGGACCAATTAGATTTGGTAAAAAAGAATCTCAAAAGTGTGTGTGTATGTGGGAAAGAGAGAGAGAGAATGGGAAAAGGAAGAGCACCATGTTGCGACAAAACCAAAGTGAAGAGAGGACCATGGAGTCAAGAAGAAGACTTGAAACTCATCACTTTCATTCACAAGTATGGTCATGAGAATTGGAGATCTCTCCCAAAACAAGCTGGTATATGTTCTGAATCTTTGAAAAG